AGAGAGCGAGCGCGTGCGCTAGATGAGTACTAATAAATAGTTCATATATGTACTTCATGTAGGTATAATACTTCAGCCAACAGCTGACCAAGCGCAACAAGAATGTGTCCATACACTCCAGCAGGACCCTGCAGTGTTTTGCCTGTGTCCAACCTGTGTGTTTAGTGATTGCCAGCCCCCTGGTTTAGCCCTGGGGACTGTGGGGTCTCCGTGCTCCGAGATGCTCCCCGGCTCCGGCTGACCCCGCGTGAGCAGCGGTGGGGCCGGGGGGCCCCCAGAGCTCCCCGCCAGCCTCGGCTCTCCCGTGCGCTCGGTCTAAATCTCTGTGTTCCTTTTAACGTCATTTTCTGTAGAGGTTTGAGAACGTGATTCAAATTGTGCAAAAGGAGATGTGGATGAAGTGCAGTATCTTTAAAATGCTTACAATGCCAGTTCGAGAGAAAGGTGCTCTATGTCTGCACTGACAACTTTTATTTTCCTGTAACTTTGCAGGATATCTTGGCACAAGTTCTACAGATACTGTTGAAATCAAAATTACTCGTAAGTGCTTTTGCTTTTCTTAAATGATCTGCTTGCCGTTCAGCCAAATGTCTTCCTGCTTAATTATTTAATTTCTTTCGTGCAGGTTTTGGAAGATGAAAATGCAAATGTTGATGAAGTGGAGTTGAAACCCGATACCTTAATAAAGCTCTATCTTGGTTACAAAAAGTAAGCAAAGCCCTGAGCCGCATCCCTGCCCGAGGTGTGCTTGGCAGCACCCTTGCCTGCCCGTGCTCAAAGCTGGCCTGTGCCCTGAGACAAAAGCGCCAGGGTCCAGGTGCAAATTCGGGGTGGACCCAGTAAACCTGCTTGGAGAGAGACAGTTGGCTAGCAGGGCATGGGGAAGATTCTCTTTAGGAGCATCTTAATTTTAGAAAAGAATGATGTTAAAGATTGCTGTTTCAATGTGGGTCTTGGTAATTTTTTTTTTTTTGAAAGACTAATTATTTTTCATCTTTTTGTAGCAAAAAGTTAAGAGTAAACATCAATGTGCCAATGAAGACTGAACAGAAGCAGGAGCAAGAAACTACACACAAAAACATAGAGGAAGATAGAAAACTACTGATCCAGGTGATTTGGACTGTACAGTATTTGCGCACTATGTACCCACAGTTGTCACTTTTGAATTCGTTAATGAAGATTGGGTTTTCCTGTTTATTTAAAAGACAGTGTGCTTATCCAGTGCATATCAAATTGGAGCCACGGGTGGATTCCCAGTGCTCTTGCAGACCGTTGGGGTCTGCAGTGGAGATGCAGAAAGGCCTGGTAGGATCCTGTTGTTCTTCACGTTGTCTTCTCAGCGAGCTGGTGTGGCTTGCAGAGGGGCACAGCCTCACCACGTACTCATCTTGCAATACCTTGCTAGTTAACTAGATGCATAGGTGATGTCGAGATAAATGAGTCAGTTACAAATAATATTTTGAAGATGATGTTTTATCCCTTCACTGGGAATCCACTCGTGAGATGCAAATAGGACAGGGGAGGGAAGTAAGAATTTGTTTCTCCAAGAAACGCAAAGGTCAAAGACCTGAACTGACACTTGGTGTTGGTCACCTCGGGGTTTGTGTGTGGGTACCGTGGTTAGGCCTGGCCTTAAGGAGGGTGGCTCCCCGCGGCCGTGCCGAGCGCTTGCCGCGGGCTCCGCCGCCGCGCGCAGCACTGAGCTCTTCCTCTGCCGTTTAGGCTGCTATTGTGCGAATCATGAAGATGAGGAAGGTGCTGAAACACCAGCAGCTGCTCGGGGAGGTGCTAACGCAGCTCTCCTCGCGGTTCAAGCCACGAGTTCCAGTCATTAAGGTACGTGGGGCGGCGGGTCCCTGCGCGTGAGGGTGGGAGAGGGGGCCAGGAGAGCGTTGCGTACGCGCTTCCCAATGAGGAGCGGCCTCCAAGGAGCGGAGGTGAACTGGGACAAATTTCCTGTAATTCTAAAGAAGTAGGGAATGCTTCCAAAAATAGTGTATTTCTGAGATACTCGGGTGCAGTTTGCTTTAGTTTGCAATGGTGACACAGTAACTAAGGTGGTGCTTTTAGAAGCAGCAGCCCCTGCCCTACACTTAGTTCTTGTTCCTACACTTGTGCTGCTCTCCCAGTTGTGCCAGTAACGCAGCTTCCAGGTCCATGTAATGCCACAGGGCAGGATAAAATTGTTGTAGGATAAAATGAGGGGGGAAAAAAAACATATAGTGCCGAATTCTGGTTCCTTCATCAGGTTTGTGTAGTGCTTCAGAAACACAAAACCAGCGTTTCTGAGAGTCCCCACCTCTTCTCTTTCTGCTTCCCCCTCCAGAAATGCATCGACATTCTCATCGAGAAGGAGTACTTGGAACGTGTGGATGGCGAGAAGGACACCTACAGCTACCTGGCTTAACGTTTTTATTAGCAATTACCTGACTGTGTGACACGGCAAATAGGTATGTGATGGAAAGGACGAAAGCAACTGAACTTCATAGCAGCCGCCCTGCTGCCATTTGGACCTCCCTTTTTAATAACTGAGACCAGGACTCCCATCAGCCAGTCTCAGATTTACATCAGAACTGCTCAGGATTGATACATTTCAAGTATGTAAATATGGACACCAATGCCATTTAACCTAATTTAAGAACAGAAAGGAATCAAACCCTTCTCCTTCGAGGGTTGCATGCTACTGCATTTAAATCAATACATTGGCTATATGATAAACAGCTGTCCTCACAGGCAGCACTTATAAATGTTGGCAGCACTTTGAGAGCGAGTCTGAATGGACCCATGTGTAATCTGCTATGAAAAACCATTTGTATAGTGTGTTTCATTTTTTAATGTGTGATAAATAAAAAAAAAATTAAAAGATTTCTGTACAAGTTGCATTTGGTTTTATTGTTTTAAGTTTCACTACTTACCTTTCTAAATGTAAATAAAAGGTATAATGGTTATGAAAGCTATAACAGCTTGTTTTGCTTTTCCTCCTTTCCACTGTTTTCCAGTGACTTAAAGCCAATAAGAAATTAGTTTTCATCTCTAACCAAATACGCATGTTGCTTTAAGAGGAAATATTTGTGTTTTGGAGAGAGAAGAGCTGATCTCTCTCTATCAGAGAGAGAACTATACAGAATAGAAAATACATTAAGAGCAGGAGTATATGTATCAACCTGTCATCACTTGAAATCAATTTTTTTTTTTTGATACTAAACAGATACACAAGGCATTGCACTTAAATGCTGTCTAGAATTATTAAGATCTTTAGGCTGTTCCTGTGTCTGCCTAGAAGTTGATTATGTTCCTCAAGAACAATTCCCTGTTCCTAGCGAGTGCAGCCGCGTGCCCTGGGAGTGAAAGGCTTTGGAGCGTTACCGCGCGGGCTGCCGGGCGACCTCGTCCTGCTCTGCTCAGCCTGGGTGCTGCTCGTGCACAGGGAGCTGAGCAGCAGCAAAGGAAGGGTCTTGCAGGCCCTGGCTCGGCCACATGTCCCCTTCTCCTCTCGATGGTGAAAGGACCTGGGGGGGCAGCTAGAACTGCTGATTTGTTGCCTGTTTGTTGTGATAAAAGGCAACAGGTCGAGACTTTGGGTTGATACTGTCTTATTGTGAGGAAAATTAGCTTCTAATGGCTAGTTATGCTTTGCTCTGTGGGACCTGTAGAAATGGATGATTATAAAGAAAGGACTGGGTGTGCCTATTTTTATATATATATATATAAAGTATATATAATAAAGAAGGAATGAGGCAGCAGTGCTAGAACTGATTGTAAATGGTCTGAAAAACTGAAACAAAGAAGGGACCATGAATGACTTGACCCCCCCACACCTTTGTTTTTGGCTCCTAAATTTATTTGAACATTTCTGCAGAAAATCTGTGTTTTGCCAAGGGCATAACTCAAAGGTGGCTGTAGCATGAGCCAGGGGGACACGTGGACAGAGAAGTGCTGTGAATAATGACTGTGTCATGAGCAAAGCCAGAAATAGCCTGCCGGGTTCGAGCTGCCTGCGAAGGCGGCGTGGAGGAGGCAGCTTCACACAGCACGGACCAAGCAGCACAGCTCTAGCCCGGAGGCTTCCTAACGCCCCACATCGGTCGGGGTTGCTTGGGCTAGCCTGAGCTAGGGAAGAGGCAGCCTGGGCCCACGTGTTGAGCACAGGGCACGAGTGGACTGCTCACTTTACTTACCCTGTTGTCACCTTCTGGCTGGAGCAGGGGCCCAACTATGATGAGTCTCACCTAGGAGAAGGTTTGAAGTGTTCGGGCCAGACAGTTTTGCCTTAGTTAGATGAGAAGGTGAATTCCTACCTCTTCAGAATGCCAGGCAGCTGGTAAAGCAGAGGAAGGCAAGAGGGAAGCTGCTCAACCTGACTGAGGGCTGTCTGCCCTTAGAGAGAAGAACGCCTGCTGCTCCGCTTTGTCTCTTTGCTCTACGAGTTAACTTCACGTTAAAGCCTTCACCGTGAGCAGGAGGACGGGAGGTAAAGGTGTACGTGGAATGCTCTGCAAGCATCAGAGGCAGCTTGTCAGTTGGCTTTTGCAATATTAGTTCCTCCCCTCAGCTGTCTGAGGGGTGGCTGCAGTGCTCAGAAACTCCAGCCAGTTTTGTCAGAAGCAAAGCTGAGCCTCTGCACAAGACCTGAGCTCACCAGCAACGCCCGGAGGGCTTAAAACACATAAAAAAATTGAATGAGTAATCTGCACCAATAAGCAAAATATTTTTTTGCTAACAGATAATTTAAGAGGTGCAACATAAATGTTCTTAGGGTATTTGATAGAAAAGGGAAAGAAAGGCAGGTGCTGTAACTGAAAGACAGAGGAGCACTTACTTTCCCATTCCCCATGACCCCTGCATTTCTTGAATCTCAAGTATGACTTGAAGTAATGGAACAAAACCCCCAAACCCAGTTTAGTTTGGTGCTGCATTTGTACAGAAGTTGAAAGCAAGAAGTTGAAGCCTGGGCTTCCTCAAGTCACTAACACAAAATTTCAACACAGTTCCAGTAAAAATGAAGAAGTTCAAGTATCCTTTATTCACGGTTGAAAAATGTACCACACCACATTATTGCAAAAGTTCATAGGTACAAAACACTTTGCAGCTGGTGAGAAGGCAATAAAAAGTTTTGTAAATTTGTTACTATAAATTACTGTTACAGTACTTTGCAAATTCAGAATTTCAAATTGCATCATTTTATTTTTCTAAAATTGCCCACAGTACTAGAAATTCCTGAAGATAAGGCAGCTTTTTTTTTTTTTTAAAAAAAGAAGAGGTAGCTGGTGTCAAGGGATTTCCATTTCTCTTTCAATGCCCACATATTTAAGGGCATCAGCTTGGCTATATCTGGAGGGAAAGAAAAGACAAAGCAAGGCTGAATGTGTCGGCTTGGTTGCTCTGACATAGCAGCACGAGCTGCGATGCTCTTGTACCTGTTTTTTCCACAGTTTGAGGGGCCTGGGGAAGCATGCAGGTACAGAACAACAACCTTTTCTTTTTTTTCTTTCCTCTTTTTGAAGAGGCTGAACCAGAAGGGTAAGTAAATGCTAATCTCTTTCTTCTTAGGTTTTTCAACCTTTTTTTTAGTATCCACTAAATAAAACCAGTTCTCAAAGGGACCTTAAACTGCTATCATTACAGAGCTTTGGTTTTTCCTTAGAGTAAGCCATTTTCAGAAAAACAGAACAGAGCAATCTTATTCTAACCTGTTCTGAAGCGGGGGGAGACAAACCCTGGTGCTGCTTAGAGGCCTCAACCAGAACCGAGTCCTTTAAGCATTCCTGATGGGAACCAGGGGAAGTGTCTAAGTAAGAACCTTTCTCCAATAGAGAACACTGGAGTTTACAGAGCTCTTTGCCAGCTGCTTTGCTCAAGCCAGATTTGGGTTCGCTGGCTTTTAGAGGCCAGGGCATTGTCCCATCACTGCTCAGATCTAAGCCTAGACCAAAGGCAGACACAGGAATGAGTTGTTTTGAGCTTGCTTCGAAGTACTTGTAAACTAACCCAATCTGGGACAGGAAAGAAGTTAAAAATAACATCTACTAACCTGTAGTCAAAGAACAGTTCTTCACCAGTCTGGATAGCTCTCTTAGCAAATATACCTATTCTGTGATCACCATTAACCATCATAACTGTTAAGAAGAAACAGAAATAATTGACGTTGTAGGACACTAGTTCAGAACACACATCTGTCAGTGTGTTAATGTCAATCTCACAGCGTGTTAGACTAAAGACAAATTCTTTAAAACTTACCTTTTGCATAGCAATTCGGATTTACTGAATGGTTTGCAAATCTAATTTTGTTGCCCTTGCGTGTTGCATCAACCACAAAATCTAGGAGAAAAAGAAAACAGGATTGCCACCTATCACCAGATTTTTGTCCATTTTTTTGTTTCACTTTTTTAAAGTACGCATTGTACTTGGATTTTAACAGCTGGAAAACTGCTCAGCTTGCCCCATGGAGGAGCTGGCACATCCTCACAGGACAGCTTTATTGTTCTGCGGAACACAAAAGCTTTCTGCTGCCCCATGCCGTGTTTTCTTCATTCATCTCCTGCCACAGTGACAGTACCTTAGTTTCTGATTTAAGGCTTCTTTATCTCACAAGTACGAGCATTATATATATGTACACATAAAGTTAACATCTATAGAAGGCAGCTCAAAGAATATTTTTTGAAATATTTCATGAGTGCCACAGGAGGATTTTTCCTCTCCAAGTTGTAGCAGCCACGTAGCTCTGTTTTCTAATATATTGTTTCTTCCCTCCCCAAGTTACCTTTACAATTTGCTGCTAATTTCAAGTCCTAGTAAAGGGACTGCAGCCAAGAGCTAGCAGGACTTCTTTCTGCAGGCTCTTACTGAAGCCTGTGTGTAATCCCTCTCCCTGAAATTCTACATCCCCTCAAGGCCCCTTGTGTAGCTGGCTCCGTCAGTGCTGATGTGCATTTCAGGCAGGTGCATTTCAGAGGTGATTGATGGGAAATTAAACCCACCCCCAGAATTAGCATCAGTGTTAGGAATCCTTAAGGTGCTGACCAAAGATGTTCAGATTTTTTTTTTCCTCAGTGTTCCCTGCTACCTGCAAGACCAGGGATGAAGGAAATGGTGCACCTGTTTTGGTGCAAGGCTTGCGCTAGTACATACGTACCATTATTCAAGTTAAACAGAAAGCTGCACATGTACTTGTCGTACACTTTTCCTCTTCTGTCTGCCTCATCCTGAGAAATTATCTGAAAGAAACAGTGCTAGTAAGAGACTATCTCTCTTCTTTTCTAATCATTTGTGACCTTGGTTCACAAAATGAACCTTGGGTTCAAACTTTAAAATGTTTTTCAGCAGTCTTTTAGGTCTATTAAATAGCCATACTTTGCTCTTAGTATAAACTAGTTAATCTTTCAGAGCAGTGGGAAAACAACAAAAGATGATTACAAGCATCTCAAAATCAAGACTGCTTAACTGGTTCAAGGTGTTAGCAGCGTACTGGATGATTTTACACAAAGTTCCTGACATGTCTGAACTGCAGCTAAATCCTGAGATGCAGCCACCACTCTGACCTCTCATTCCCACAAGTGCTGTCCATTTTGGGGACATTTAAACCATCTGGCTCCTGAGTATGGAGCCTTGGACAACAGTTGCTGAGCACACACAGCTGAAGAACATGCCAAGCTGGAGGCAGTCTCGTGCTCTCTAGCCAACACACAGCATTAACCAGTTAAGCTTATAGAGAGTTTTGTCCTTCCTTACCTCACCACAGTATTCAGAAATGAACTCATTCTTCTGTACGGGGTCTTTGATGAAAATTCCCCAGCCTGCCACATCTGAAGGTGCCAAGAGCAAGTGCTATAGAGGAGGAAAATAAATAAATAAATAGCTTAGTCATGACCAGCTTCATTTGTTGGTGTCTTTTACTTCAACCCATCTGAGCCACTGGGGCTCCCGAGAGACAGGACAAAGATTGCCCTGAGCCTCATGCACTAACTTCAAGCGCACCCGTCACAGGTTGAACGTTTAAGAAAACTGCACAAGAAAGCTTCACCTTGAAATGAAGGTGTTGTATGTACCAAAAAAACCTCCAACTTTGTATGTGCACTACGCCAGTCCACTGAGAGGAGCCTAATATTGACTAGTTTAATTCTAGACTGACTTGGCTGTGGGAAGATGGTTCAGAGCAGAATGAAGCAGTTTTTGTTATAGCAGAAAGCTAAGTAGGCTTTTTAGACAGCTTTAGTAGTCTATATACAAGTCTGTCCTTTAGCATCAACTATTGCAACATGAAGCAAACGAACTGAGCCAATACCCAGCGTGTGAGCTAGGCCTCCTTGAGGCTGCTCTAGGGAAGGAATGACTTAGGAGCTAGCTTTTTAAACCAGCAGTAATTCTGCAAATCATGAGCAAAGCCTGAATGGGGGAATAACAGACACTAGATAACACTCCACTGTAGTCTGTAATATACAAAACACCGATTTGATATAGGCAGGTGATGAATCACAGAGAGCGTAACAGCAGCAACTGGGAATGACACGCACCTGAAAAAGTTACATCCCCTTCTGTATTCCTCTTTGCTGGTTAAAAGCACAAAAGGCAAACTAATTCCATTCTCTGGCAGGAAAACACCTCAAAAATAGGACAACTGGCACAGAGGTGTGCCTATTTACATACTTTTTTGGATCCCCTCTGAATGCTGCAGTTCTTGCAGGACACGTTCTTGCTGTCCCAGTGGTCAGCGGCGCCGCAGGTTAGGCAGAGGTCAGGATCACATTCTCGCACGGCCAGGTAGCAGGGACACTGCTTCGTGTTGCACTGCGCCTTACAGCGACAGCCAGGAAACCGGTTCTGGCCTACAAAGGAACACAGGGAAAACAAAAGGCAAACCTGAAAAACACGCGTGGTAGAATTAAGACAATACAGTTCTAGCTGCCTGCGGTGTTTAAAATATGTGTGGGAATCTGTGTGGGAGATTGGAAGTTTTGTAGCTTCTGGACTGTCCTGAATTTGCTACAGTCTTTCTCAGTTCTGAGTCTCAACCAGCCATTAAACAAAGTGAAAAACAATCTTAAGAGAGCCAACACAGAACACGAGCTCCCTTCTCACACCGTTTACTGCTTTTGAAAACAGCATCTGCAGCAGGGACAGACAGCTCGGATCACCTTACATGCTGGCAAGCAGAGCAGTGAACAAAGCCACAGATGGCTTTAAAATCCTTACTTACATTCTGAGCTGCACTGACAAAACTTCTCGCAGAAGTTCTGAGCAATCACACAGGGGCAGGAGCTGTCACAAGGCTGACGCGGGTGATCACACGGCTGATAGTTGTAAACATGATTAGATGACCCATCTGAACAGAGAGAGCAATATTTTGAAGAGTTGAAAGGTGCAAATAAAATACAATTCCCTTCACTCTTTAAAGTAGGTAATACCCTTAACTCTCTAAAAACAAACAAAAAACCCCAAACCCCAAAGCTACAATCAGTAGGAGAAAACAAAACCCCAAAAAAGGACACCAAACCAGAAGGGTGGTGGGAACCAGGTGCTTGTCAGCATTAGTTGGTTGCTTCCTCATGCACTTCATTCGTCCCATTACTCATCTGCTGAGCACAGTCAGAGCCCAAAGCTGTCTACTGTGGAAAACTGAGCTACGAAACTACAATGGTATAATTTCCTGTGTGAGCAATGTTCTAGAGTGACAGTGATGAAGATGCAGAGTAAATCTGTGTGAAATACCCCATATCACTTTTATTCTGGAACAAGAGTCAACTCTCAAACAGATACACTGGCAAAACACCACCTGGCCATTATACCACTGTGCTTTCCCAAGTCACTTTTCCAATATAGACCAGTCTACACCCTTGCAGGGAACGAGGGACCAAGGTCTAGAGCACAGCCAGGAGAATCTGGGGCTGTTTAACTTCCGTTCACTGTGAACACTCCCAAGCTTGTCCTGGTTTTCATGCATTTGTACAAATGAGGAGTTATCAATCAGCAACCAAAAGAGGGAAGAGATATCCAAAGAAAAAAAAATTATGTTGCTAAGTGTCCCTGCCGTTTTCAATGGATTTTCAGTTAACTACCTCTAAAGTAAACTGCTTTCAAAAGAAAACAAATGCAGCCTATTACTGCAGCTCATACTAATGGTATTGTTTGCGGTTCAATGAGGCCATCCTGAAAAGAATAGAAATTCAGCCTCCTTCCCCTTTTATTGAATTAAAGTGCTCTTCCAAGCAGTTACATAAAGCAAACGGAATCTTTCATCTCTTCTGTATCTGTATCAAGAGCTTACTTTTTTCCTTTTAAATGCCCATGTTCACTAGTCCCCCCATGAAATGTACATAATAACCTAGCATTAAAAAAAATGAAAAAGAAAAAACAATCAAGCAAACAAAACCCCCACAAAACCAGAAAAAGAAAAAAAAGCCCAAAACCACAGTAGGATCTTAAAAGTTCAGGACATAAATTGAATGGAAAGATGCTAACCCTTTTTCAGCTGTATCTTTCTGCAATGAGCAGCCCACAACCTGCAAAAACACAAAACAGACACGAGAAGGTTGACAGGAGCTCCTCCTGCAGCGGCTGCGAGCGCCCTGCTCAGCGCGCCCGGAGCGCCGGCGGCTCCCGGCCTTCCCCGCTCCCTACGCGTTCCCCTCGCTCCCTCTCCTCGGCCTTCCCCTCAGCTCGGCAGCCTCCTGGCCAAGTTCATGCTCCCCCTCTCCTTCACCTCCTACGCGCTTCAGATGACAACCCCGCCAGGCAGGGCCTGCCTGCTGCTCCAGGCACTGCAGGGGCAGCTCTCTGGCCTCTAGGTGCTGCACGCAGACTGCACGCAGACCTTAAAATGCAAGTCCAAATCCACAGCTTTAATTGTTCTTCCAGGCTGGGAGGCACGATTTTATTCATTTTAGTTGGCATTTAGAGTTTAGTGACCTAAGCCTAATTTAAAAAAATTATTGGAGTAATGATTATCAAAGTTTAGACTTCTCAGGGTTGTTAGGATGTCATACAGCAACATTAAGAGTAAGGGAGTCTCCCTACACACACACTCCAGCCAAATAACTATTAAATTTGCTGCTAACTGCAGCTCACAACCTCTCTTTCTATGCAGATTTATCACTACAACTGGCCCAAAATCCTAGTGAATGTGTGTGCTCAAAAATCCTCAGCACAGAATCACACAGAAACTTGCGCTGCTTTTCAATGAACTTAACACTCAAAAGTTTGCATCCCCCAAAGAAACTCCTGCTGTATGAATGCAAACAAGAAGACTTAGCTGGTACTTTCACACCTGCACTATACCAAGTTCTATTTTAAATGAATAATCCCCCCCACACACAAACAGAACAGCTGGAAGTGAACCAGGCTGCCTGTGTCATTGCTGGTTCAAGGCCTCACAGGTGCACTTCATGTTAAATATTCTATAGCTAACCTGGCTCCTCTCACTCATTTGAAGGATCCTGCACGAGAGAGAAAACCTCTGCTGAGATTTCTGTAATTGGGTCCAGGTAACTGGGAGGCTGTGGGGAAGGGTCCAGGCCCAAAGGCTTTACCAGAGCTACAAAACACTCTGCTAAACAGATGCCGCTCCTGTGAAGAGAGGCTCGCTCCAGAGGGGAGAGACATTCATGAGTTATGAGGCACTGATTCTCTGCAAGCAGCAGCAGCTTCCCAGGTAATTGGGAGAACAAGTGTAATTTGGACTTAAATTACTCTAATGCATGTCGAGCTACTTCTGTTTTGTTTGCCTGGTATTTGGAAAATGTACTGCTGAGAAGTATCTTATATGTCACTTCTTTCATATAAGCTAGTCTCTCAACCCAAGATAATAACGGCCTCCTAGCAGAGCAAACCCTTAAAAGCTTTCTGGGGATGAGCACCATTTCATTAGCAGAGCCAATTAATATATGAACATGCTTTGAGTTCAGCACTATCCTAAAACTTCAGAACAAAATGCTACTTGCTGACTAGTTGCCAGCTGGGATTTGGGGGTTTCTATGGTAATTGCCCAAGAAAATGAGGGGCTGCATTGACAAGGTGACCTGAATATGACAAAATTACTCATCAACAAAAAGTTCAGCATCCAAATAACTCGTATTCACAGCAAAATAAACGGAAGCCCCAATGACTACAATCAGCTTAGCCTGTTTCGTAACAGAGACCGGTGCAGCTGGCAGAAGACATGCTGCCGAGGAGGGAATGGGAGAGGGGTGGCCAGGGGACACGGCGGAGGACAACGTGCCCCAGGCCGCCCAGCGCCGCGCGGCCAGCGAGAGGCGGAAGCCGGACGAGCGCCCCGAGCGCCTGCAGCAGCGGCCGCGCAGCGCTCGGGCCTGCCCGAAAGCCCTGCCGCTCCCCCTGCGCGCGCTGCCGCGCGAGCCGAGGCCCGCACGAGCACGGCGCCCCGGCGGGAACAGCGACCTGCTGAGCCTGCTTCCGCTGCGTTACCGGCCCGGGGCTGCCCTATCGCCGCCTGCAAGCCGGGGCCTCGAGCGATGGGAAGCAACTATTCCACCTACTTACTACGTGCTCCAATGCAGAAGTCTCCTGATTTAAAGGCAATCTAATAATATAGACAAATTTCAAGTGTTTCAAAAAAAAAAAAAAAAAAAAAAAAAAAAANAAAAAAAAAAAGACAGAAGGTATGGCGCAAAGTTGAGAAAGCAGTGTCAGAAAGCTGAGAAAGCTTGTGAGCCTAGACTCCAGAAGAAAAAGCAAATTGGAAATTCAGTGGCAGATTTCCAAGCAAGCAGGTGGTTTTGTGCATCTGGTTCCTGACATCTGCATGAGATCCAGCTTAAAAAATAAAGTTTTCACAAGCCTTATGACACAAGCTGTCAAAAATGCTGTTCTTCTCTGCTAACAACCTATTAGGTGTGGCCAGCGTTATAAAGAAGTACTGGTATCAGCTACTGTGACAGCAGAGATCCATTCCTGAAAGACGTTATTAACTTATTTTTCATATAAAGATATAGGGATGCTGTGATAGAATAGGAAATTCAAAATATATGACTTAATGCAAACATATGTGGCTAAACCCTTGCAGTGTTCAACTTTCTGGCATCACTCACACAGAGAGTTCTTGTTTCAAGTCTCCTAAAACATTCACCTCACTAAGAAACCACCTTCCCTCTAGGTACCAGAGAGCAGTATTTGTGTCAAGGCCTCAGAAAAACCTTTGCCGGACAGTGGTGAGTCTTTGATCTATTTATAAAGGCACCAGGCAAAATCATATAAGCTAATGAAATATATACAGTGAACAGCACCTAAGGGAGAGCAGAGACAATGGAGGGAAAAAAAAAAAAAATTCAGGAAAATAAAGACATGGTAGAGAGGGAGAGGGTATCTGTTACTAAGAAGTTCTTCTACTAGCCTCATGAGCTGCTTGCTTGGTATGGAAGCACCCGGGATGGTAGTGGACACACCTAGAGAGGAGCAAGCAGCGACTCCTGCGCAGTGACAGTGCCCCTGGCAAGAGGATGTCTGTCGTTCTGTAATTCTACCTAGATGCTCAGAGAGAAATTGAAAGTCCTATCAGATGAGCCCTCTGCTGCTGCTTTTCTTTTTGGCAAATACTGGTTTTTGTCAGTGCTGCCACATGCATCAGGGAAGCCTGATGAGTTTGAAACTTAGAACGAAAAAATCCCAAGAGGAGACAAGGTTTTTCTGGCTCTGGGACTGGATTTAGTCTTAGCAGTGGGTAAACTCGGAATGCACTAAGAAACAGAGGAAGACTTCCACTTACTTTTCGCAACCACAAGCTGCACCTCTTTAGAGAGGCCTCAGGGCACACTATGACACACAAGGGCTAGAAGGTTGCCCTTTAAAGACTGTTGTGCAGAGAAGAACAGAAATAGCTTGATCACCATGTACACATGTGATACCAGGCATTTCCAAACCAAGCTCCTGACATCTAAGGTATCGTGGTAGCTAGCAAGAATAACAAAAAATAAACTCTCAAATATTGACATATGCTCTATTTGTTTAGAAAACAAAACAAAATCTTCAAATAAATATCAACCTGGTAACCAGATGATCTATTTCAGCTTCCAAATACACGTTTCTCCCTTTAAGTTGCACTTTTCAAAAAGAAGTATGGGTCCTATTTTTAGATCAATTTCCCTGAATCTGAAAGAAAGCTAACCCCCAAATACGAATCCCAAACTTTCAGTGTAGCTAACAACTCCAGCTCCCAACAAGCCCATGAAATGCCCACAGACTGAAAAGCTGTGCCAAAAGCATCTCATCAGTAGTTTCGCCCAGAATGAGCGGAATCTCTTCCAAATGCTCACTGAATCTTTTCCCAACTCTATCAGTTGCTTCTGTGCTACAAGGAGGAAATAGTTTGTTTTACTTGAACAGTAGCTTTTGGAACCAGCATCAGGAATTTCACTAAGCCTGGAAGTGATTAAATCTAGAGAAGCAAGAAGAATTACTGGATAAGAATTGGAAGAAGTTGGAGATAGAGAAGAAAAATATGGGAAGTTTCAGGAAAATGCTATAGGAAAAAAAAATAGGAAATAGGGAATGCTATAGGAAATAGGAAATGCTATAGGGAAAAAAAAAGTGTACTTATTGCTTCCTGAAAGAAACACTCTTCTTGCTAATTTTTGGTCAATTATTTATCCCTTATTTTCTTAGCCGCCAAGAAAAAAAAGTCATAGTTCAGAGCTGTCACATTTGACAAACTTCAAGACTCTCATATTTTATGAGATTCAGGGACCTCTAAAAATTCAGACAGGAGCCACTAAGTTTAAAATTGACAGAAATCATTTTAGATGAGTTTTCTGGCTCCAGAAAAGGCTTTTTGATCTTAATTACAGTGTCTCATTATTCAAGGAATATAAAGCAACCCAAGATTTCTGAGCTGGAAATATAGTAATTTGCTAACCTGAAGAAATTCAGATTTCAGATGAAAGTCTAGTTGGTGATGAAGCTGAGGTCCTTCTCCATGTTGTAAGGAATTGTTTCTCTTTAAGAATGAGGCAATCTTAGTTTGCCCTATTATTTTTTGCTTTTGGATGATCTGAATTTAATAAAATACTTTCTACCATTAAAATAAATTATTTTGCAAAATACCACCTACAACCCATATTCAATTCAATTATAACACTTTTAAATTTAATACTTAACTGTTGCAAACTAAACCATACAGCAATGTCTTGAATGTTACAACCAATTGTGTAGTGTATTCCAAAGCAAACCTTAGTTTGAATATTTGCAGCAGTAAGCTATAAGAATCTGCTAATGAGAAACTGTTTTACAGGGGGAAGGGAGAGAAATAGCATTAAACTTGCCCCAAACCAAAAACACTTTACATCTGAGACTATCTTGTTTTATTGCTGCATATTAATTTTTAAAGGAAACTTTTTATGACTTTTCCTTCAAAATACTTTGTGTTTTTATTCACTACTGGTTCACTGCATCTCCAATGTATTATGTTTAATGCTAAGGTTATTTAGTAACAGATTTACCTGTGTTTCCTTTTCTTCTTTCTGGGAGGAGTATCAACATCTTCAGCAGGGACTGGAGCAATAATACTAGATTCCTTTACTCTAAACTCATACACCTAACAAGAGATACCATAATACATCCACGATAAATCTCTCACTGGTAGAAAGTTACTCATTTTCTAAGTTAGTACGATTTCCTCCAACCAATGTCTTACAGATTATATCCAGTCATAGTCTCTTTCCTACATATTTAAATTCTATTCTTTTCATCATTTAAGAACAGAGTCTAACTTAAACCTTACGCAAATTTAATTTAAAAACAGATTTAAAACCAACTTTTATACATTTGTGGAGTGAATTCTGGATCACAGCATTCTTGGAGAAAAAATGAATAAAATTAATTATTTTTCTTCACTCAGTATTTAATATTAGCATTTATATACTTCTCTAGAGTTTTGAAAGTAAAATGCTATCATCCTTGGTAAGTAATTTCGCTTCTTACCTGCCTGCATGTTTTGGTCCCTATCAGTCTGGCAATTGCACAGAAGTTGTCATAGTAAGTGCCAATAAGAACTCTAAACATTGAGGCTTCAGCACCACTCCATTCCACATTCTCCGGAGGCTCAATATTTGGCTTCATCTTTATTGGTGTTTGACACCTGGAGTTTGCTTCTGTAATAAATAATAGACTGTGGGTCAAATTAAGGCTTTGTCCCAAAAGATGTACACATCCCTTGAAGCACAGCAACTAACTAAAGAAGCATCAACTCAGCCATACCAGAAGAACTGGATGTTTCATCCTTCTTTTCTTCTTCTTCTTTATCATTATTCTCTCCTCCAGTTTCAGTTCCAGCTTCTCTGTCACTATCCGTGTCCTTCGATTCCAACACGTTGATCGTCGGGGTGCTGGGTCTGCTGGTGTTATTTGGAAGTCTCCCCCTTCGCCGGCCCCCGGGACGCTTTGGTGGCGTCTTTATACGCTCAGCTGTGAGGGCAGCTGCAAACTCCTTCGCACCTTCCTAAGGACAAAACATTACAGTTTTCAGTACAAGAGTTTAAAAGATTTTTCATTTATGGTCAGAGACTTGGGCAGAATAGGCTCATCTGCATGCTGTAGAAGTTCGCATTATTTCACAAGTGATTCACATACATATGAATTGCAGTTAATGTCCTCTGGCATTTATCCATGTTATTTTAAAGAGTTTCTGCACATAAAGGTGCTTTTAGTTAGTCACAAACACAAATACTTTTGATCCCAAGATAAATAAATCTACTTTTAAAAAATATTTACACTGGTATTTCAGTTCTGATGTCATTTTGGCTACAAAAAAGAAAACATCACTAGTAAGTTTTCATCTTCCTTTATGACAGAAAACAAAGATTTCCCAAGCAAAATACCTTTCAAAATTTCTTGCACAGGGCATCTGAACAATACGTATTCTACATTTTTCAAAATGCGATCAGTGACAATCTGCTTGCTAGTGAAAAAGGGTATGACAACACGCAGTGAGTTTTTGGATCAGAAATTCAGATACTTATTTTCTCATACCGGAAAATTTAGAAAAGGTATGAGAGAGATTCAAAAGTATTTTAGTAAGAGTTTCCCATTTTCCAATTTCTTGCTTCTTAAGAGCTGAACACTGGACAGAATCTTCCTTCTGCTAATTAATCCCTTCCACTCTTAAGTTACAGACAGGTACTTATGTAACACCCTGTTTTCAGCTAGACTGGATACAAGGACTGCAGCACATTATTAAGAGATAATAATCTTTTTTTTCCCCCCCCCCCCTACAAGTATATTGGACTACATTCAATAAAAAAATCTAATTAAAAAATATTCTGCTTCCAACTTAGGCTTTCTTTTAATGATTGGAAGACAGCAACTCTTTTTCAAAAGCCTTAATGTTATCTGTCTCCAAGTAGCCCACATCCATATTCCTCACATGCAAAGATGCCATATGTCCCGACGCTAGGTACAGTTTGCTACTGTATAAGGTAACACTGCTTCAATTAATTCTGAAGGTCCTCCTGAAATTATCTTACCAGATGCTGATAACAATGCGGTCCACAAGGTTTGTTATCTAGTGCTGTTTCTGTGTTCTTCCGTTTGTAAGTATTAGGAGTTGCGTGGAATGCTGTAGAATCAAATATTGCACTTGTAATACTTGTAATCAAATATTGCACTTAAAATAGAAGAATGTATTAGATATCTCAAGCAGCATCCAAGAAACAAAGCTTACCTTGTTTTTTTTTATCCAAATTTTACCAGAAGCAGCACAAAAATGATAAAAACTGGAAAAAGAGTAAAATAAATCCCAACTAGTGACATTTGACTTACCATTTGAATACTCAAATAAGTTCTACATATGCCCCTTTACATCAGTTTGTTTCATATATCAAAAAAGATTCCCTAGATCTCCCTTCCCCAACAGAGCGAATTTTACTTCTATCATCGAGTAAAAAATTCGAGTAAATACTTCTATCATCGAGTAAAACAATATTCAGGGTTACTCCTAGTAGTGCTTCTCTCAACTCTGAGATTTGATTATTCAATTTCTATCTTGTCAGAAACACACACAATTTCTAATCTTCTAAATTTTTCTAATTTTTACTTGCACTAGGAAGGAGAGCACATTATCATCAAAAAACAGGGTGCCAGCACCCAGGGAAGTTGACAGGCTGTGGGAGCACAGTTCACCTTCCTCGGTTGCAAGGAAAAACAGATTAGCACCCAGGAGTCACCACGGCTAGATGCACCAGAATGAGTCCGCAACTTGCGGGAACTACTGCTATTTACGCTCACATAAACTTGGAAAGAAGCTGTTAAGTTGTGTAAATGGTGACTTAGACTGCAGCAGCACTGGGCACATGATAGGTACAATCCGCAGACCTTTATACCAGCATCACAAAATGGCCACGTTACAAATGCGAAACCATTTCCTTCCCTAGAATTTGTCCTCCCCCTCCAACACTGCCTGCCTCCCAGCTGGAATGGTTTCCGAGGGATCACTTGGAGCACTCCAAGTGCCTACTGCCCTACTAACCAAAGTCCGGAAAATGTGCAGCCCATCGCTGGAGCACATGTTCACTCTTGTGAGGAGCTTTTGGGAATACCATCCTTTGTTTGCTGCAATTCTCTTTTTTAATTAGTTCTCCCTGCTCAAAAAAAGAAAAAAAAAAACAGTGTGTGTACGCCTGCATTAAGGAGAGCAGCCCAGGAAGCGACGCGGTCGAACGCTGGCTTCGCATCTGCAAAATGCTGCACACACAGGTGTACACAGATGGTGCAGATGAATATAAACGTATTACTATCTAATATCCCACTGCTATTCCATGTAATTACATGTAAAACACAGTATTGTGCATTACAGTTTATAAATCGGAACACACAGTGAAGCTTCCATTTACCATGCAGGGATACAGATATGTAAAAATCAATTACAAGCAAGAAAAGGATCATAATTTATGCATATTGTGGCTATTAGCACACAGCATGTGTTCCTATTTATCTGTATTTACAGATAAAATACATGAAAAAATATAAAGGATTCTTACAACTATTCCACCTTGGAATAAAAGGTGGAAGTATTCCATCTTTCCCTAACGAAAAAAAAAAGAAAAAATAAAAGTGACAGAAAGCCTTCCCTCCCAGAAGTTAGGGGAAACACTTGATTATTTTTCAACATGGCATCTTCTGAATCACCATTTTATTCACTTGATTTATTTCTGTCTTCAAATCATACAGAATATGGTTTTGCAGCAATGCAAAAACACTATAAAAGCATTTGCAAGCCACAATGCCCAAACTGCTCCAATGTGCAGAAATAAAAGCTATTTTTGTTACATATCAGCTGCAGATGCAAACATTTCTCTCAAAGTTTTTTGCGTGAGGTCCTAAAATCAGTGCTATTTTTTGAAATTCTGTTTTTCCTTTAGACTAGAAAATGTTTAGTTTATAACACAATGAAACCTGTGAACATCTGACTTTTTATTAAAAAAATTAAAAGATGCCTCAAAAACATGCTAGGCATGGTATTTATTCTGAAAGCATTAACTTCTGTTGGACTATTTTGAAGCACTCAGTACAGTGTCCTACTAACTACAACCAGACTCTATCAGAACTGTGCAAGGTATTTGGAGACTTGCCAAAGAAATAACAGACCAAGAAGCAAACTATGCATATACAGCTCTGTTATGAACATGTCAAGCATCAGGAGCAAGTTTTTTTTTCAAAAGGGAAGAGGATTTTGCAGAATTTCCTGAATAACTACATTCCACATTTCTTTACTTCCTTAAGAAATTATTTCCAGCTCTGACACACAAAGCACACGTTCTGTCTTTGCTTTGCCTTGTGATATGTCACCTGTATCATATCTCAGTGGGCTCAATTCACTTATTTTTCCTCACATGAAAGTACATAGGCAAGAGCTTAACCTAAAGTGTACATTTACATCACATTTATCCAGGAAATTTTCCCTACCAGGTATTTTTCCTTTTTCTAAATTCTTTTTTAGGCCTGACACTTTGGCATAATGCCTTGTCGCCAGCAAATGAAGTCAGTACACATTTTTATTTATTTTTTTCAGAAACGTCATCAGGTGCATGTAAAAGGATGGCCACCTTGTCAAGGAGATGCAATTTCTTAACAGTCAGAGTGACAGAGCACTGGAAGAAGTTACCAGGAGAGGTTGCGGAATCTCCATCTCTGCAGATCTTCAAAACGCGCTCGGACGCAGCCCTGTGCCCCGTGCTCTAGGTGACCCTGCATGTGCAGGGGCGGGTTGGACTAGATGATCTCTAAATGTCCCTTCCAACCTTAAGGACACTATGATTCTATGATCCTATGTTAAAAATCTAGTGATTTTTTTTTTCCAATATTTAACTCAAGCTTTCTAGAATAAAGGTTTGAAACTACATAAAGCAGGTCTAATCTTAAGAAGAGGTGAATCTGAGAGGGATACATCACAAAGCCAAGAACAGAATTAAAAGAACCCCTATATTTTTTATTCTCAGTGCCTCCTCCAGAGATCTGGGCATCTCAAATTAGAAATATGATTGCTAGAGCCAACCACATTGCACCGAGAATCACCTGTGGAAGCTGGGACATTGTCCTACAGGACCTGGCAACTGCATGAAGTAGAAGCTGGGTAACCGATTAGGTCACTCGTAGGAGCTTATCAACTTACTTTAGAAGTACAACTTGAGCTGTGTTATTGTAAAGACATTCAAACTTTTCCAGTCTTATATTTACTAATGCATTTTTTCTTGATGAGTTGCTTATTTCCAGCACTAACTTAGGTAAATTTGGACTAACAGTCTGGAAGTGTCACAGAAAGTCAAGAAGTCACACAACTGAGCGTCTCAGTTCTTAACAAATTAACTCCTAGCTCTTGTTCTGCTCAAGCAATACAATCCTAGTGTTTTTTTGTTTGTTTGGGTGATATCACAGATGAAAACTGAAAGTGATGCATCCAGAGCAGTAGCTAGTCATGGCCAAAGTGGGATTTGGATACACATTCAGTGAATGAAGAATGAAGCGTCAGTTTGCTAAATTTAGTGTCCGATCTAGAGGCTTCATAAACAAACTACCTAGTGAATGTGTAAATGAAGCTTCAAGAGATCTCTTTGCAACTAGCAAGAATGTTTCTTGATAGCCTCTTAAGCTGCACGTGCTGCATGAGCTGTCATGAACAGCTTAACAATTACAAGTTATTTCACACTTGGTCTTGATACAAAGGTCCATTTAAACTGTCTCCTCAGAAAAGGCATGATTTTTTCCTTTTCTTTTCTTTTCTTTCCACTATGACCCCAAGAATCTGAAGAAATTGCTTGGCTAGTCCTTTTTAACTAGAAGACATGACTTAAAACGATGCCTTGGACACAAGCTACTTTGGAAAGAACACTGATTCAATTAAGGGACGTACAAAAATCACCAGAAGCAAGAATTTAGGCAATCCTTAAGAATAAAGACTTTGTTCATCATCTGAAGACTGTGAACAGATAGAAACAGACCACAATACTTTCATCTCAAAAGATCCTGCTACCTTAAGAGCTGAGATCCCATTGCAAATCAGTAATAGATCAGTCTCTTTGGACTGCATCACAGGTTTGCTCTTGCACTTAAAAGCAGGGCAAAAATCAATGCTTTGAATCAGCCCTCTACAGCTTTAGAAAGCATCACAGAGCTGGTCCCACAAAGCTAAGGGGTGACAGTGTCAGGCTTCCCAGAGCAGTAGACACATCATCTAGTCCCCAGATCTATTCAGTTCTATCTGTAAAGACCTGCAGAAGGTAATGAAGGTAAATCCATAAGCTATATTAAATAATCAAATACAAGTGTATTTTTAAACATACACTTGTGCTTCCACATGCACTGTAAAAGTCTCAGGAGTTTCTCACCCTAATCTCACCCCAAAGACTGAGATGCTACTGTAAAAAATGCAATGCAATTTAACGCTGAGCTGTGCTTTCCTACTGATTAAAACAACAAAGTCTTTTTAATTAAGAAAAATTGGACCGGCACCCAAATTCCCCAGTGGACTATCACAAGTGTTGAGAACTCCTGAAAACACCACCAGACTAATGGCTTTGTCAGGAGACAGCATTCTGCTTCGCTTCCTGGCTCTGCAGGTGAAGGGTGATTTCAGAGTACTTCCTTGCAACGAGTCACCCAGAAAAAAAAAAAAAAAGAAAGAAAAAAAAAAAAGAAACAGACGAAAAAAATCCACCTTTTAACAGTACCTACAGCTCCACAGGACAATGTGGAAGCTGGCTGGTCAAAGCAGCAGCTCTAACCCCCCAAAAAAAAATTCTGTTCTTAAAATTGTTGGCAGATAAAAGCTCTCTGTTTATATTTTCAAGCAAGGGCTGTCAACAGGTAGGAAATGACACTAACGGATCTAACCCCAAAAGCTACAAGTGCTAAATCATATCAAAATACACCACAGACATTAAAATTCTTGAGATACAATTTTCACTAGAAAGTGATGCTGATATAGACAAGTTTATTTTGTAAACTTTAGCAGACATCAGTGCTTTTATTTTCTAATTACTTTTTCTGTATTCCACTTTATGGCACCAAACAGCAAGAGAGGTACAAGCGTGCTTTAAGGGTACTTACGATGTAAGAAGCAATCGTACTTAAAGCAGCGCCTACAGAACAGCGTGTGAAAGGAGTGAAGGCTCTGCTCCCTCTGAACAGATTTGGCATTTGGTCCATCTATGTTTGGTGTACATTCAGGAGGAAGAGCTCCTGGAAGCTGCTGCTCTGTCAGTTCTTTGTATCTTAAAAGAAATAAAAATTTTTTTATTCAATATAATTTTTAAAACTGTAATTTTTCATTGCAGCATCACTGCACATATTCAGTGACAAATGAAGACCCAACCTCTTGTACAGAGAGGTCTGTTGCCTGCCGGGGCTCAACTAACGGATGTCAAGGAACGTCATGGAGAAGCTGCCAAGGCTTGTCCAGGCATCTGCTTATTATCCCTTGCTGCTGTTTCATGTGGGCACTAATGACAGCATGGAGAAATTGAGAAAAATCAAATGAGATTTCAAAGCCCTTGGGATGGCAGTCAAAGCTCTGGGTGCCCAGGTTGTGTTCTCCTCTATCCTGCCAATGAGGGGAATGGATATGAGAAGGAAAAGGCGGATAATAACAGGTTAGCCGCTGGCTGTCCTGCTGGTCCTGGCAACTGCGTTTTGATTTCTATGACCATGGGACTCTGTTTGAACACCACCAGCTAATGAGGAATGATGAGAGTCACCTCAGCAAGAGGGGCACATGCGTCTTCGCCAACAGGCTGGCCAGTCTGGTTAGGAGAGCTTTAAACTAAGCAAGAAGGGGGAAGGGGAGTGTGACAGACAGGGCAAATCAGTGTGATGCGGACCAAGTCAGAAGGTCCAGCAGGAGCATGGAAGTGGGAAGTGAATATAAGATATGATTACAGAGGGTCATCTTTGACCCCTCCCAGGAAGCCTTCACGCTCGATTTCATCCCTTAAATGCCTGTACACCAATGCAGGAAGCACGGGGAGTAAACAGGACAACTGGAGATCTGTGTGCGGTCCCAGCATCATGATCTCATTGGAATTACCGAGACATGGTGGGATAACTCACACAATTGGAGCGCTGTCATGGAAGGCTATGTGCTCTTTAGGAAGGACAGGCTGGGAAGGCGAGGTTGCTCTGTATGTGAGAGAGCAACTGGAATGCATGGAGCTCAACTTAGGAGTGGATGATGAGCGGGTGGAGAGCTTGTGGGTAAGGGTTAAAGGGCAGGCTAACGTGGGAGACACTGTGGTGGCTGTCTGCTACAGGCCACCTGACCAGGAGGAGGATGTTGATGAGGCCTTCTACAGATAACTGGAAGTTGCCTCTCAGTCACAGGCCCTTGTTCTCATGGAAGACTGCAACTACCCTGATATCGGCTAGAAACAGAGCACAGCGAGGCACAAACAGTCCTGGTGGTTCCTGCAGTGCACTGACGATAACTTTTTGACATAGGTTATGGAGGAGCCAACAAGGAGAGGTGGGCTATTGGACCTTGTTCTCACAAATAGAGAGGGACTTGTTGGAGATGTGAAGGTGGGGGGCAGCCTTGGCTGCAGTGATCATGAGTTAGCGGAGTTCAGGATACAGTGAGGAGGAAGCAGGGCTGTAAACAGCCTTGTAACCGTGGACTTCAGGAGGTCCAACTTTGGCCTCTTCAGAGACCTACTTGGAAGAATCTCATGGGCTAGGGCTCTAGAAGGAAGAGGGGCCCAAGAGAGCTGGTTAGTTTTCAAGCAGCACCTCCTTCAGCATCAAGATCAGGGCATCTCACTGAGTAAGGACTCAGGCAGAGGGGGCAGGAGGCCTGCGTGGATGAACGAGGAGCTTCCGGTAAAACTCAAGCAGAAGGCAGCAGTATGCAGAATGTGGAAAAAAGGGAGGAGGAGCGCCCTCCCTGGCCCAAGGAGGGGGCCTGGAATATAGGAATATATATAGGAATGTTGTCAGGGAATGTAGAGATGTTACAAGGAAGGCTAAGATACATTTGCAATTAAATCTGGCAAGGAATGTTAAAAATAAGAGCTTCTTCAAATATATCAATGGCAAAAGGAAGATTAGGAAGAATGTGGGTCCACTGGTGAACGGGGTGGGTGCCCTGGTTACAAAAGACACAGAAAAAGCAGAGTTGCTGAATGCCTTCTTCACTTCAATGTTTACCTAGGGCAGCCCTCTGGAATCCCAGTCCCTAGGGACAAGAAGCCTGGAGAGAGGAAGACTTGCCCTGGGCACAGGAAGGCTGCGTTAGAGAAGACCTAGGTAAACTTGATACCCTCAAATCCAGGAGCGCTGATAGGATGCACCCCAGAGTGCTTAGTGAACTGGCACGCGCTATAGCTAAGCTGCTCTCCATCTTCAAAAGGTCCTGGAGAATGGGGGAGGTGCCTGAGGACTGGCAAAAACCCAAGGTCACGCCAGTCTTCAAAAAGGGCAAGGAGGGCCCAGACAACTACAGGCCAGTCAGCCTCACCTCCATCCCTGGAAAAGTAACAGCTCATCCTGGCTCTTCTCTCCAAGCGCATGGAGGACAAGAAGGTGCTCAGGAATAGTCAACATGGATTCACCAATGGGAAATCATGCTTGACTAACCTGATAGCCTTCTATGAGGGAATGATGAGCTGGACAGATAAGGGGAAAGCGGTGGATGTCATCTACGTGGATTTCAGCAAGGCTTTTGACACCGTCCCTCACAACATCCTCCTGGGCAAGCTCCAGAAGTGGGAGTTAGATGGGTGGACAGTGAGGTGGATTGAGAACTGGATGGATGACAAAGCTCAGAGGGTGGTGACCAGTGGGGCTGAGTCCAGCTGGAGGCCTGTAGTTAGTGGTGTCCCCCAGGAGTGAGTCCTCAGTCCAGTCCTGTTCAATTTATTCATCAACGACCTGGATGAAGGGATGGAGTGCTCCCTCAGCAAGTTTGTTGATGATACCAAACTGGGAGGAGTAGCTGATAGCCCAGAGGGCTGTGCTGCCATCCAGGTGGACCTAGACAGACTGGACAACAGGGTGGTGAGAAACCTCATGAAGTTCAACAAGAGCAAGTGCAAGGTCCTGCACCTGGGAAGGAATAACCCGACACCTGTACAGGCTGGGGACCGACCTTCTGGGAAGCGGCTCTGTCAAGAGGGACCTGGGCAGCATGGTGGGCCACAAGTTGACCATGAGACAGCAGTGTGCCCTGGTGGCCAAGGCCAGTGAGATCCTGGGGTGCATTAAGAAGAGGGTCACCAGCTGGTAAAAGGAGGGGATCATCCCTCTATACACAGTTCTGGTGAAGTCCCATCTGGAGACTGTGTCCAGCTCTGGGTTCCCCAATACAAGAGAAATGTGGAGTTGCTGGAGAGAATCCAGCGCAGGGCTATGAAGATGATCAGGGACCTGGAACATCTGCCCTCTGAGGAAAAGCTTGTCAGGGCCTGTTCAGCCTCAAGAAGAAAAGGCTGAGAGAGCATCTGATCAGTGTGTATAAATACCTTAAGGGTATTTATACCTTAAGCCAGTGAAAAGGTTGGGGTCGGCCTCTTTTCAATGGTGGCCAGTGACAAGACAAAAGGCAACAGCCACAAAATGAAGCACAAAGAAAGTTCCTGTGGAACTTAACAAAAAATCTCTTAACAATGAGTGACAGAGCAGTGGAACAAGTCGCTAAGAGAGGTTGTGGAATCTCCTCTGGAGATCTTCACAACCCACTTGGACACAATCCTGTCTCACGTGCTCTAGGTGACCCTGTATGTGCAGGGGGGCTGGACTAGGTGATCTCCAAAGGTCCCTTCCAGCCTTAAGGATTCTATGATTCTATGAATTGTGTGTCTTCTCAAACGGTAATAGTATGTTCACCAGCATCACCCAGTGATACGACAAGTTATTAATTCCATATTCATTTGCACAGAAATAAAACTGTTAGAAAAGATGGCATTTACTTTCTACATGCTTATCTACTCATTTGTATTACTTACCAATGCCAAAAAGGAGACTTTTGTAAGAGCAGCTTTTACTTTCCCCCCGCTTCGAAGGGTGACATGCAATAATGAGCACCCACAAGCCAACACATTTTGATAGTTTACGAGGAAGGCTAACGCCACCCCTCTTTATTGTTTGATTCATTTGGAAGGAACAGTCTTTTTAATCTTGCCTGATGTAGCTAATCTCCTTCAAATATCAGTTGCTTTATCAACTGCCCTGAAAACTTAGAATCAGTATCATTCCTGACCATAAAATATTTAACAAAATCAGTAAGTCTAAGTCTCATAATGCAACAATATAACCTAGAAGAAATTCTTTCTTACTTTTCTTTCAATTCTTCTGCTGTACCCTTGTCTGGAAACATTGAGGAAATGGCTTCAAATATCTTGTCAGAAGGAAATTTCCGTGGTGGGTGGCTTTCCTTCTCTGTCGAAGAAGCAAAACATTAGGAAAGCAAACAAACAACAATTTTATTTTTATTCCTTTTCTACCTCAAGGAAGTGTTGAGAGAAGGAGAACTTCTCCAAAATCCTAATAAGATAGAAAAAAAGGGTTTTTATTTCTAAATTACAGAGTTCTTGGATTAAACTGCTTAGAGTGATCTTTCCTGCTGACAGAATTGCACTTGTAAGATTTGGCCAAACCATTTTTTTCACCAGCAGATGGAGATGGCAGTTCAGAACTTTGCCTACTCTTGGATAATATTATTCTACCTACAGGAGTATCAAGGCATTTATTAAATAGCTTACTAACACTTGACTGTCTCAGTATGCAAAGAAACATAAATTGGTAACAGTACTTTTCATAGCATTCTAATGCAAAGGAAATGATGAAGAAAAGGATGCAACTTTGGATCCGAAAGATATCAAGTGGAAAGGTTTGAACTAATTTCTTTTATCGAGTGAATAAGGAAAAGGGGGGTTTGTCTTGTTTTTAAAGTCTGCATACAGACATACCCATCCTGTTACCGTCCCGATCTTTTTGCTTGTCATCTCTTTCATCAGGATTGTCATCTCCATCATCATCATCTTCATCATCACTATATTGACCAAGAGCATTGACCAGCTCAACAAATATTTCATCATTGATAAATCCACATTCTGAAATTCAGCAAAATTGGGAATGAGCAAAAAGCAAAATACACACAGGAACTATTTCTAATACTCCCTACACTTGAGCTAAAAAGTACTCAGTATTTGACTTTCAGATTAGTAACTGGGAAGGAAGCTTGTTGAATGTTTTTTTCTATGTTCTTGATTCTGTTATTCATAACAGCAGACAAGAATAGAACTCTCTTCCTCACAAGGAAAATTAAAAGGAGGGGGGGACTAAAATCACTAGCTAGATGATTTCAGAGACTTTATGCCAAAATCTCAATTTCAATGTGGTCAGATTAAGCCAGTCTGTCATTTCAGGCAAACATACTATGGAAACTATCTTTCTTGGAGAGCTATGGCATCCTCACATAAATTTTTAGTTAACAGTCTTACATCCACTTCTTCACTATAGATCTTGCTGGCAAGGTGAGAAGAGAGTTCAGTTATATGCAATAAATTCAAGGGAAAACTGCAAGTTATAATGCTGCAAATCTGCTCATTAGCTCAGATTCTGCTACAAAATTCATAGGGCAGCACATGTTGACAAAAGGCATTTTGCTGGAAGGAAAAATGTAGTTAATGTTGACAGAAATGGAATGTTATTTATTAAAAAAAGTGGTGGTTGGGGGGAATCAGGAAGTACGTAGGAAATGTAGTGCTTATCACCTTCTTTTTGTACCTGGAGTGAGGTGACACGCTAACTTTTAGGAAGCCCAAAGATATATTACTTTGTAGACAATGGAAACAGGCACGTACTACATTAAGATGTTTTAAACGGAACAATAACTAGCTTTAAATAGCATAGTAATACAGACACAAAGGTTAGTATGAATTTTGCCTTCTACAGCACAATTTACAATTTTGCCTCCTAGATGGGTATTCCTCTCAATCACAGGTTTCCCACAGCATTCACATTTATTTACATCCACATAAAAATGTTATTGGGAAAACAAAAACAACTCATTCTACTTTAGATGTACAGTTAAACTTACTACCTTAAACTTGGAACCTGAGACTATTAAAAGAAGATTAATAGGCTTGAATCATTTAATAACAATAATAGAACACATTTATTAGTAACTCATTCTTTTGGTCCAAAACGTTCCCTGGGTGTCAGAGAACAAGTACATCCGTAAAAATAATTAAAGGCAAAAGAGTCACAACTTTGCCTTCCACTAATCTTCTTATTAGTGTCCTAAGGATGACTAGTGCCTTTCTATTTCATGAGCAGAGAGCAGCATCTACTAATCACAGGCTTAACTTTCATGAGCAGCACACAGTGTACTCAAATGCACCTCCCTTTCTCCATCATTCCACTGTTAACAGGAATATAATCAATACAGAATTTACAAGAAACAATTACTCCTCAAATAGAGTAATTTTAAATGGGAGGGAAAGCAGATTAGTCAAAGAAACCTTCACAACTCTAAGACTCAGGTTCATATGAGCCACTTCTGAATGGGCACATAAAGCAAGCAGATCTACTTGACTCTAGGGGAAAAAAATGCAACTAAAAGGTAGCTTATTCATGGAGATCTTAGCAAACTTTAAGAGGCAGATGATACCAGACATAGTACAACTCCCACACAAAATTACAGGAAAACAAAACACTATGCAGTAGACCGACAGAAGAATATAATTTTCCTCGTGTTTGTCTTAAAGATGGAAGAAGTTATAAATACCCAATCATTTGTGGTAACCATTAGGAAAAAAAAAAAATCCACACACACAAACACGTATTTCCACCACACACACACACACAAAAAAAAAAAAAAAAAAAAAAAAAAAAAAATCCACACAAACAGTTATTCTGTCAAGACGCATCTGTAAGTCTTGTCATTAGAGTTCCATATTCTTCTCCCACCACCTTCTGCTAGGCAGAACGTGCTTAGGGACATTATAATATTTTATTCCAGAGCTCTAGACATAAAATGAAGGCCAAAAACTACTTCAAGTAAAATTTAGCCATTATGATGGCTCATGTTATATTATCAATAAAATAAAATAAAATAAAATAAAATAAAATAAAATAAAATAAAATAAAATAAAATAAAATAAAATAAAATAAAATAAAATGTGTTCCATTTCTCCAAGTTACTATTTTAATAGCGTGCAGTCTTTTGAAAATGCAAAGCAGTACAGTTAAAACAATGAACCCAATGCTTACACAGTATAGTCATTCTACAGATACTCCTCTAAGAAACAAAGTCCAGGCCTTACAACATAAAAATTGAAAGTAATTATGTATATATGAAGAAGGGATGAGTATACCTGAGTGTTTGGGCTCACCTCTGTCTCCATGCACTTTTCCATCATAATTCTTGATTAGTTCCTCAATAAAAGTACCATCCTGGTCAAGCACTTCATCTCCCATATACGGAATGTTATGTAAAACAGTTTCATCCTCTACCTAGTAAATAATGTTTACAATTATGAAGGGTTGATGTTCCTTAAATAAATGCAAAATATGTCTTTATCTGCACATTTCAGCATTACAGTTTTCACCAGTGGCTAGCTATACCTAACTGGGCTTCATTGCTATAACATATTATGATAATTAAATATCTAAAACCCTTGATGTTTGTTTAGTGCAGCAGCAGTGACTAGCTTAAGATATTGACACTAGCTTCTAACATTAAGAAGGTGTTTGCATAAAGCTTCTACTATTGAAGCCCAGTATGCTAGCTAGTCTTGGGAAGTGTTCATTTGATTATGAGATTTTTCTTTCTTATTTGCTTCTCTTCCACTGTCATGTGCTTTAGAAATTGTATTTCCATTCCTTTGCAAGAGATGAGAAAGTATGATGATAAAAAACAAAACAAACAAACACACATACACAAAAAGGCTCTAAGTCCAAAGCAGCAAGAATGGAAATAGGCTACAGACTATTTCACCTGAACTACTTTTGTTTTGTCTGTAGACAGATTAAATGTCTGGTACTACAATATCCTAACATTAGAATTTGGGAACCTTGAAATTCAGCTTTATCTTCTGCTATTTCAAGAGAACCTGCAATTATTTAAAGAGAGATTTTTACCACCATAGCCATATCAGCAAAGGCTATCTATACCAAAATAATAAAAAAAACAAACAAACAAACAACAACAAAATCAAATGCAAAAATCATTCTATTATAAGCTAAGCCTTTCAAATAAATCAAATTCCTATATCAGAAATCTATAGATTACATATAAACATTCTGTCAGGAGTAAGTTCTCTTTATTCAAATTACTATCCAACTCCAAGGTATGTTGGCCAGTTGTCATTCTTACATAGACACTTTAATATCCCTCCCAAAACATTTCTCTGTACGCTAACTAGTCATTCTCTAAAATAGACCTGCATGTGTCGAATGCTATACATTGCAACAGAGCACCTGAATTAAATAGAACTCTGTCTTTACAGCTGGATTTTCAAGATCTTGAGGTTCAGTGAGGTCACAGCTTTGGTTAATTAAAGTAATAGTTATTTGATTTGGAGGAATTGAGCCTTATTATTACACCAAAAAGATACAAAGGTGTAACAGAGCAGATGTACTGATGTTTTAGTTCCAAAATTAAACCAATCCCCCTTCACAGAGTATTTCTCCTCCCATTATTTTTTTTAAACTTACCATAAAATTCTGTTGAAGGGGAGACCAAGAGTACATTATAGGCACAGAAGCAACAGCATTGAGAGTCTTTAGGGGGATGACTTGTTTTGGAAAATCTATGTCGCTGGTAACAGAGCACTGAAATAAGAGGTCAAAGTACACTTACACTAGCAACAAGAACAACAAAAAGAACACTCAGCATTCAAAATTCAAGCTGTTTGTCAAGAGTAAACATATCTGCCTCCTAAAAAAACTTTTCTTTAAAAATTTTTTTTAAAAAGGGAATAACACTAAGAAGATATAAGAACAGGTGAAAAGTGATAAGAATTTTTTTCAATAGCTTTGTGAATAGATCATGGTGTGTTTTTTTTCCTGCTATATATAATGATGCACAAGTAAGTAGCTGTGACAGATTCATAGGATGCTCCTCAAGACTGCAGCCTGTGATACAGATCGGGTTTGTTACTTCAAAACATGATTCAGAATCTTATGCAGCTACTCTGGTGTTAAGGGTGTTATTTATTCAAGACAGAGGCAGCTGAAATTTGCTAGTTTTAGATACACTAAGAAATCACACAAAATTTATTTTAAAATAAACAAATTTTACACTATTGTCAGCAAGACCTCTTTTGGAAACAGATGATCCAAACGTCTTGATTCCCACCCTCTTTCTGCATTATTATCTGCTTACATTTAATCTTCTCCTCAAATTTTTAATTATTTTTATTGTTTACAAAAGCCAGAGGAAAAGTGAAAATTAATTCCTACTGGACAGCTCTGGACATGTCAATAATTTTTAGCTATGGGAATGGATTTTTTTTAGCTATGGGAAAGTCAGAGGCTTATGCAGCTTCCAAAAAATAAACATGTCAACACCTCTTCTCAATTACTCAGACAGCAGTATGAAGAATTCTGAAAAAAAGTTACAAACAAAAGCAGAATAGGAACATACACAGCCAGGAAATGTATCACAAAAGATTTGGAGGCAGGTAAAACAAAGTTGAGAACAGCTATCATAGCTACCTGAAAGGAAAAAAGGAAGTGGAGACAAAAGATCTTTCTCCTTTCCAGAAGGGAAAGATGAACAGAGCTTCACATTTCTAAAGAAATACACAAAGTAATGTAACAAACAGTATACAGAGACAGTACCCTAGTAGAATGACAAAAGTCAAACTTTTTCTTTTCTTTCTAGCTGCAGGCAATAAAGTTAGATATCTGCCATGTTTCAATCCTAACACCACCTTAAGACTTTTTACCCGTTGCAGGTTAACACTGAATTTTCTAGCTAGCAGCCATCTAGAAAGTTTTTCATACATTTTTAGAGAAAAATGACAAGTAAAAAAACTAGAAGTCTCAGCCTGACAAATAAGCCATGTCAAGTTGACTCAACTGTTGGGCATTAAGTCTCAGGCATGTTCCCCAATTGCTTTGCTTCAGAGTCTATCTAGATGCTCATTAGCCCAGCACGCACGTGCTGCCGTCTCTGGTTGTTGCTGACCAATTAACCAATGGAAGTAACTAAAAATCTGTAGAGAGGAGAGAAAGGGCTACATCGCCAGTGAGCCCCTGCAATCTTTACCAGATATAAAAGGTTCTCACTGAGAGAGAGAGATTTCATCAGGTAATTCCAATACTAGTCAAAGTCCCATACAACTCTGAAGAAATTCAGCACATTAATAAAATGATGGAAAAAAAATTCTCTCAAAATCCCCACTAATTCTCTCTCTCTATTTTTCAATTTATATACTTTAAATTATGGCAACATTAAAATCAAGCACTAAAACCCTTCTGATGAGGTAGACTGGATTTGAATGAGGTGATTAGTGATGTGCTTCAGTTAGGAAATTAATATAAAAGAACGCTGAATTCAGCTATCAAAGAAAGTGATAGTTTAAAAAAAAAAATCTAACTCTGATGGCAAAATGACTATGATAAAAAAAATTCCTAATCTTGACATGAGTTCCTAATCTTGACATGTACCTGTCACCTATTACAGAACATTACAAAAATTTCTGATCCCACAGATCAGATTTGTGATATTTCCACAAACACATGTACATATGTACACACACACACACGTAAAGTTGTGTGAAGCACCACAGGCTTTCAATCTTGTTTAAAGGAAAATAATTTGGTAAAAGTACTTTCCTGCATATATTTGAACACATACGCACACAAACACCCCCATGTGTAACACTCCCCACCCTGTTTCCCTTGAAAACCTTGCAAGATGAAAAAAAAGGAAGTCCAACAAACTCCCTTGAAGAGTTTACCCTATTGACAGTAATGTCTTTCTATATTCATCTTACTGGGAAGAGATATCTCTTCCTATTACTACATGTCAAACATTCCTGAGCTGGCTCAGTCTGAAGAAGTGTCTACAGACCAACTGAATTAACTTGGGCTGAAAGCACAACCACTATCCAAGCTACCCTCACAAAAGCCAGCATAGATCTTCCAATTGCATTGTAGTAATGAAAACAGTTTTTCACCACTCTAGTGTCCAATTCGGATGTGCTGCATAATGGGTGTACCAACTCAGTTAACTTCTTTTAGAATTTATGTGGATAAGTGATTAATTAGTATAAAGAACACTTGGTCAAATGATTATGCTCATGGCTTTCACGTGCTTTAAATCAATAGAAACAGAACTATCTCCTTGTTTGCACTATGGCAGCAGTCAACTCCATCAGAAGTGAGATCAGACTAAATACTGCTGACACAAACAGATTTGAAAAAAAAAGCTGCTTAATAAATGATCAAATACTTCCAAAAGTAAAGATATTGTTTCAGTTCTGTGTGTAGTTCAAAGCTAGATAGGATGCTCTTATTACTTTCCAGAAATCATCTGATAAAAGAATCATTATTTACTTTCAAGAGACTCATAAGAAAATTATTTAGCTGCCAAGTCACAGCATGCAGAAAACAAAACAACATTAAACAAACAAACAAACAACTTTCAACAACAGAACAAAAACGTACTGACAACCTTGTAATTGGAATTACCACAACACATGTTAACCAACCTCCCTGGTCCCGCGCAATGAGCTCACAGAAGTCATGATGTGAACAGGCTGTATCCTACGTTGTTTCCATTCTTGATTTAAGATCTCAGTTCTCTCCAGTATCTTCTGACGATTAGAATTAAACATACTCTAAAAATTAAAACACAACCATTACAAATAAATGGCACCTCTTAAAGCATCGTAACATTTACTGAAACGTTAAGCATGAATATAAAAGAGGAAAGAAATTTGCTCAAAACCAAACCATTTTAATTTTGTTTAAATGCCAGTCAGCCTAAATATTTTTGATTATCCCTTCCCTTGTCTCTAAACCTATTTTCATGTTTAGAAACTTAAGGTTTAGCATGTAATTACATTCTGAAAGGAAACAGAAAGAATATGGCTATTCCTTCAGCCCCACATTGACTCACCAGGACCTCACAGCAAGTCATATCTCAGAAGCAAATTCTCTTTGATACCAGTCTTTAAACTAAAGAACCAAAAGATAGAATACCTTTACTTCATCTGCACGTCGGAACCTCTTGAGCTGCCTCAGTCTCATGTATTCTGATTTCACACGTTTTCGCCAACAAATTGGTCCTTTTTCAGATTTTTTTCCGGTTTGACCCATGGTTATCCTATAAGTGACAATATCATGTTAACAGTATGAATCCTGACCAAGCACAAGTTAGAATGACGAGACAGGCACGACAGAGACTTTCCTTTAATACCACACAATTGCAATGTAGTCCTAATCAAAAAAAATAGGAAACAAAAAAAGCATACTTGAGTGATAGACACTGAACAAAAAAACAGGTTTAATTACAAGTCAGTCAAAGAGTTCAGGTGCTTTAAGCACCTCTAGCAGCTATATACAGAAAGATAAGGGACTTTAAAAGGTGAAGAACCAATCAGGATACCCCTGGGAAGACACCTGAATCCTTGTTGGCCTGAATCCTTGCAGGCAGTCTTGTAAATTAACTTCTGAAAAATGATTTTAAGACAGACCAAAACACTTTCTCACAAGGTTTGCCCACTTCAGACAAACACCACTCCCTGCGCTGGGATATCAAGCGGGGACTGGGCAGACATGCAGACCCCTAGCATAACCCTCCCAGCCAGCCACTCATGCTCCAAGAAGATCTACACATTCTACCACACGTGCAGAGCTTTGCAATAGTTTGAATATGAAGCTGGAAGTCTCCTATCCTCTCTCTCTACGCGCCTCCCTTAAGTACTCTAATAACATCTAAACTGTCCAGTTGGACACAAACTGGACAAAGATTCCACTTGTGCTAGTCATCCTTCTAGTATAAAGTGCTTCATTTTTATATTTTTCAGAACCATGGGCAATGAAGTTGTTCTTTTATGTTATAATCTAAACCTTTACTAGAATATGCCAATCTACTCAACACTTTTCAGAGCGAAGGCCCATATGCTATAATGCTGACAATTACTATTTTGTCAACAATGTGAAACAAAAACACTGCATCAAAGACCGGCCTGTTCGAGAGTGGCACTGTAACAACTCAGAGTATTCTGTGATAGCCATTGTGGACTGCACAGTTGAAAAGCCATTGTGGACTGCACAGTTGAAAAGTCCACTTGCCCAACAGTTACACGTTCTCAAACAAGGAAAATCAATTTGAACAAAAATAATTCTAGCCTTTTTAATTATGAAGATAAATATGAACAAAGGAAGTGATTTGCCGTTTTGCTGGAGCAAGATATTTGGCGCTACATTGCTACCACAGTCCCTTGACAGGAAGATAAAGTTATCTACATTACTGGTAGCTCTTTGCTGTTGTAGACAGATATCAATTTTCAGTAGTTTTGTGCCATAACTTTTTTTGATTCAATTTGACTTCTACCTCACTTCAAGATGATCTTGAAAAGGAAATCACAGAATCACAGAATTCATGCAACTTGTTTATTTGCATGAACAGATCTTCATTTACACTCAAAAAAAAAAGGAAAGAGTAGAATATGAGAATCTAAAATCCTTTTTTTATGGAATTATTATACTTTATTAGCCCCTTCCTCCCAAATTTATTAATTTCCATCTTAAAAGCAGTGTCACCGACGCAAATCATAGCAAGTACTTTATCAGGAAAAAAGTATATATGTAAATTTTGCATGATGCCCTAGCACTCAACCAGTCAAAGGGAGAAGATAGAGATCCAGCAGGGGGAGTTACATTCAGAGGGAAACTCCAGCCTAGCAGTTCTGCTGCCAGCCTCCAGCAGCAAGACAAGCTGCTCCTTTATTTCGACTGCCACAATACGAGCAATGTAGGAGATAGAGATTAAAAATCAGAATAAAAAAATCCCAGACCACTAACAGCGTTGTGAAGAGAAACACTGCTTCAAAAATATAGCACAATATTGATTAGATGACAACATAAAAGCATTGTAATGTACAGCAAATACATGCTATACTAAGCAAAGCAAAAAATATAGAAACACATTCCATTCATGGAATTAAGTTATACACAGAATAAATATCACTAAACAAAAAATGAGATTCTGTCTTTTTGTTAAAGCAATACAGAGCATCAAAACCATCTTGGGCAGGTTCAAACACAAGACATGGAGAAAGTATCAATGAATCAAAAGCTGAATGAAACTTCAGCTGACATTACCAAACTGGTATAGCCCCTAAAAATAAAGCATGGATTGTGCTCACTTATTAATGCCACATCAAACACAACCCTTGCTATCCTTTTTTTCCTGGAGAATAAGGAGTGACACAAGCTGGGAAAAAAAGTGCTCCTTAACTAAGATTAAATTGGCACACAAGCATCTAATGGGAAGCCCAATGTTAATAAATTAACAACAAAATCAAACAACTCCCACTCAAGTTTCATAGAACTGAAACAGCTGCAGAAGACTCAAATCAGTAAATGCCATCGAGCACACGAATCAAATCTATTCAACTATATGGTCATGAAAACCACGTTCAACTGATGTGCTAAAATCGTAAGAAGAATAACACTTCACAGGAAGACAAATACTTCCTTTCAAAACAGTGCAACTTCTGCACACTCAGGTCACTCATTCGAAGAAAACATGCAGCTTACAGGAACAGCCTCCTCTTGCACTAGTTCAGCTGCTACCAGGGCACAATGTACACAACTAATATTTAGTCTTCAAAGCACTCAGTGACAAGACATAGAAGACACAAAAGAGTGCTGCTGCTTATAGGAAGTTATTACAAAATAACAATAAAAAGTTTGTTTGTTCTAGATAAAATAACACTGTTGATGTGTAAAGATCAACGGGAAACACATAGAAATATATACAGAAAAAGTAAGATATGGGCTTTTTACACAATTACCCACTAGGAAGGAGTGAAACAACACTAAGTGGACAAGCAGCACCCACGTTTATATGCTAACAAAACAACAGCTGAGAAGAGAAATACATCATCATGAAAGTGATGGCATAATACTAAGTCCCACAAACCCTGCATTTTTTCTATGAATGTTATTTTTCAAAGCAGTTTTCCAAACCACATGAATGGTGGTATGAACCAATATATTTGCAGGTTTACGGACAGTTGCAAACCACCCAAAACTTCAGCACTGTCACACACTTTTTATGGTAACCAGTTAATTCCTCTTCTATCCCTCATGTCAGAAGTATTAAAAAAAATGGGGAATGGGGGGAACTTGTAGAGGACATAGGGAAATATCAATTCTTATAGTATGACTGATCTATCATGTAAGGACTATAAACAAGTGACACTTATAATTCCTTAAGCCAATGAAGAACTTAGCCCCAAAACTACATCTATAAGACTATAAGACTAATAGCAATTTTAACTGTCGTTTAGGAATGACACACACTCAACCTACCTGCACAATGATTTTAAAAAGAACACTTATAAAAAAACAAAACATACCCATTTGTTTAAGTTTCTATTCACGTTTTCATATCTGGAATTGGAAAATAACAAAATAAAAAGCATCCTAGTGTGTGCATGGTTATTTTTTTTTCCTGAATAAGAATTTCCTAATGAAATTATGGACAAGCTGCATAATCTTTACAATCAGCATTAGAGACACTGAACACTTGAGTTTAATTTAGTTAATTACTGACTTCTAGTAGCCAAAGTGTGCCCAGTACAACTAATATAAGTTCAGAGACAATTAAGTGTAGAAAAATAGCTTCTGTTTTGGCTAAAAAATATAGATATACCCATATTTTAAAAACAACATACTGTATTTTTCGATCATTTTGGCTATATCCATCAGTGACAGACAAGTACACAGATAATTCTCTAAATTAGGTAATCCATTCAAGCAACCATATTGCTGTTAAACACTTTAAGTTCCTTTGGCTACTCTGCCAAATTTTCAAAGAAATTTGAAATGAAATTTTCTGAAATGGAAAGTGTGGGAGCATAAATGAAGGGGTCTGCTCTTTTGAAAGGGTACTATCAGCATGTAATTATGCATAACATTACACAATGTTTTAAGCTGTAACAAAATTATATTATGTTCCTCCTACTTGGAATTTCTTTCTAGCACTATTTAAAATCAATGTGCACAGTGCAATGTCTCAGTTCTTAGTTACTAATGATTCTATATTCAAAAAGTTATTTATATACTTTATATATACATATACATGTACACTGAAGAGTATCCTTAACCAACAATTTGATTATATCCAGGAAGATGAAAATAAACGTGGGAGAAACATACAAGCCCAAAGGGAAAAAAAAACTGTATACAATCTGGTACAAATGGAATAATAAAATAACTCATCATATTTTCTTGCGTAACGAAGCACATACGTAGTAAAATAACTCAGAGTAAAGGGGGCAAAGGGAGGAGGAACACGCTACTTGTACCTCCCATAAGGTCAAACATGAACACTGGCACACTCACTCCTCAGAACCTGCACAGGAACCTGCTGCGCTGCGCAGCCCTGCTCAGGGAGCTGAGCTGTCGGCCTTCAGGACTGCTGGATTGTTATGAATTCGGACCAAAACTGAGGGGAAACAACAGTGCAAGAGATTAGACCATAAACTGGTACTGGTTGCTATACACAGGTTCGCTGTGGGATGGCAGACGTGACAGCAACTATAGGCTGTTACCAGATCCAGACTGAATGAATGTCCCTGGACATAACGTAACCTCAGTAAGAGAGAAACTGTCGTATATTAAATACTATCTTAAATCATTATTTAGGCATTTATGAAACCAGGAGTTTAGTTTTAAAAAAAATATATATCTTTCTTGTATGCTTCAAATGGAAAATGACTGGAAAACTGAGAATTTGAATGTGGACAACAGAACAAACAGAACAGAAAATTAGGGCAATTTTCATATTCCACTTAGAAACCATCCATCTAAGGTGAGTGTATATATATGAAATTAAAGAAGGAATTAAGATTTTACCATAAACCTTTCCCCCCAATCAATACTTGATTTAAAAAAAAAAAAAAAAAAAAAAAAAAACCCAAAAAACACAGTGGAAAACATGGTAATTGGCAAGTATCAGTATTAGTTTAGATCTAACGGATCTTAATTTTCTAAAACCATCAAATTCAACTCAAATGACCTTGATGTGTTACACAATAATTTATTATTAACTACTGTTGTAACCTGCCAGGCAAATATCTGACTACCTTA